CAGTTCTTAACTCCTACTTTGCTGGTGTCTTACTGCACCACCAGCCACTAGGTTGTCAGATGGCAATGACATCACAGAAGATTCTGTTTCTCCAACTACAAGTTTTGGGTCGCTTACAGGGCGTAATCCATATCTTCTGACATAGGCCCTCTGATTGCTACCAATCCAGAAACTCAACTTGGGGGGTGAGAGTTCAGCTAAGTCTACCTGACCTGCTGGATCTGAGATGTGAAGGATGAAAGATCTCCCAAATATGACCTATATGTCCGTTACCAAAGCTGCACCTATGTTCAGAGAGGAACCACCAAGTGCCCATAAGACATATATGGATGGCACAATTCCCAAAATACCAGAAAGCATCCTGACATGATGCTCTTCACTGAGTTCTTGGACTATGTGCTGACTTTTTCTTTGACTCCCAGCCAGAAATGCAGAAGTTACCCCCTCTAGAGTGAGCGTGGAAATGGACTCTTGAACTCCAGTCTCCTTTAACTCAATAGATGTTCATCTTGAGGCAGGAAGTCAAATTGACCATTATTAATTCAGACTTCACCTTCCAAGATCAATAAAATATCAGTTATTGAGTACACCCTTGAAGGCCACGACATCTTCTAATGGTAAAGTCATGTATCTGGCCAATCCCATAAGGGACACACTGACCAAAGGGGTGATTCAAAACCCTTGACATCCTGCTGTGACACCATGCTCCAATCTTGTAGAACAGGCACTTGATTCAGTCACCATAAGGGAATTGTCAAGCCGTCCTCTGGAGGCACTTGAAATACTTCCACAATATTGGTTCTGATTAAAGGAATTTCATCAACCTTACAAAAGGACGAATCAACAACCTGGACAAAGGTCATCCTCTTCTTCTTGTTCATAAGGGACTGATGAGGATTGATTGGCTTGAGAAGGCTCTGAGACAAGTTATAATGTTCCTAAAAGGAAGACTGGGCATTGCCAGAATAGATGGCCCTTGCAGAAGGTAAATTCAGAAATTCCTTTAGAGTGGCTTGACCACATGCTTAATTAATTGTGACAACTTGGTCACCATCATCTTAATCATTGTCTACTTAAACAAAGAAGGAATCACACAGTCATGTTCATCCACATGTTCTTTGGAAGAATCTGACAAGGATTGATTTGACTGAGAAGGTTCTGAGACTGCTGATTGACAGAATATACAGTGGGGCAAAAAGGTATTTAGTCAGCCACCAATTGTGCAAGTTCTCCCACTTAAAGATGAGAGACACCTGTAATTGGCATCATAGGTAGACCTCAACTATGAGAGACAAAATGAGAAAAAAAATCCAGACAATCACATTGGCTGATTTGGAAAGAATTTATTTGCAAATTATGGTGGAAAATAAGTATTTGGTCAATATCAAAAGTTCATCTCAATACTTTGTTATATATCTTTTGTTGGCAATGACAGAGGTCAAACGTTTCCTGTAAGTCTTCACAAGGTTGGCACACACTGTTGCTGGTATGTTGTCCCATTCCTCCATGCAGATCTCCTCTAGAGCAGTGATGTTTTGGGGCTGTCGCTGGGCAACACGGACTTTCAACTCCCTCCAAAGGTTTTCTATGGGGTTGAGATCTGGAGACTGGCTAGGCCACTTCAGGACCTTGAAATGCTTCTTACGAAGCCACTCCTTCATTGCCCAGGCGGTATGTTTTGGATCATTGTCATGTTGGAAGACCCAGCCACGTTTCATCTTCAATGCCCTTGCTGATGGAAGGAGGTTTGCACTCAAAATCTCACAATACATGGCCACATTCATTCTGTCCTGTACATGGATCAGTCGTCCTGGTCCCTTTGCGGAGAAACAGCCCCAAAGCATGATGTTGCCACCCCCATGCTTCACAGTAGGTATGGTGTTCTTTGGATGCAACTCAGCATTCTCTCTCCTCCAAACACGACGAGTTGTGTTTCTACCAAACAGTTCTATTTTGGTTTCATCTGACCATATGACATTCTCCCAATCCTCTTCTGGATCATCCAAATGCTCTCTAGCAAACTTCAGATGGGTCCGGACATGTACTGGCTTAAGCAGGGGGACACGTCTGGCACTGCAGGATCTGAGTCCCTGGCGGCGTAGTGTGTTACTGATGGTAGCCTTTGTTACGTTGGTCCCAGCTCTCTGCAGGTCATTCACTAGGTCCCCCCATGTGGTCCTGGGATTTTTGCTCACCGTTCTTATGATCATTTTGACTCCACAGGGTTGAGATCTTGTGTGGAGCCCCAGATTGAGGGAGATTATCAGTGGTCTTGTATGTCTTCCATTTTCTAATTATTGCTCCCACAGTTGATTTTTTTCACACCAAGCTGCTTGCCTATTGCAGATTCAGTCTTCCCAGCCTGGTGCAGGTCTACAATTTTGTTTCTGGTGTCCTTCGACAGCTCTTTAGTCTTCACCATAGTGGAGTTTGGAGTGTGACTGTTTGAGGTTGTGGACAGGTGTCTTTTATATTGATAACAAGTTCAAACAGGTGCCATTGATACAGGTAATGAGTGCAGGACAGAGGAGCCTCTTAAAGAAGAAGGTACAGGTCTGTGAGAGCCAGAAATCTTGCTTGTTTGTAGGTGACCAAATACTTATTTTCCACCATAATTTGCAAATAAATTCTTTCCAAATCAGCCAATGTGATTGTCTGGATTTTTTTTTTCAGTTGAGGTCTACCTATGATGCCAATTACAGCAACTTGCACAATTGGTGGCTGACCAAATACTTTTTTGCCCCACTGTATGACCCCTTCACAAGATGAGTGAAAGCAACTCCTTTAGAATGTATTGACAACATGGTCAATGAATGTGATAAATTGTTAGTGTCAACTTCTTTATCCCTGGTTGCTTGAACCAGTAGGGCTTACACAGTCATGCTCACCTGAATCTTCTTTTGGAAGATTCTGAGGAGGATTGTTTGTCTGAAAGGCTAGGAGACTGCTTATTGATAGAAGAGATAACCCTTTCACAGTGTGAGTGAAAACATTCCTTTAGAGTGTTTTAGTCTCATGTGACAAGCTCTTGGGTGTCGTCATTATCCTCGGTTGCTTGGACACAGCAGTATTCATGCAATCATGTCCTTACACATCATCCTCTTTGGAAACTTTGAAGAGGGATGCTTTGCCTGGGAAGACTAGGCAGCTTCTCATTGCCAAAGCAGATAACCCTTCAAAGGGTAAGTGGAAACCATTCCTTTAGTGCATTGACAATGTGTTTATTGAATGTGACATTCTGTTAGGTGTGATCATCTCTATCCCTGGCTGCTTAAACCAGCAGGATACATAGTCATGCTTGTCCACCTCTTTCTTTTCATGGAGTCTGAAGAGGCTGTCTTGCCTGTCATGGCTATTAGACTTCTAATCTCCAGAACATATAACCCTTTTACAGGGTGAATGGAAACAACTCCCTTTGAGTGCACTTGCCACTTAATGAATGTGACATGTTGGGTTTCATCATCCTCATTTATGGTTGCTTGAACAAAACAAGATTCATATTGTCATGTTCATTTGTCTTTTCTCCTTTGGAGAGTCTGAAGAGGCTGTTCTTCCTGGGAAGGCTATGAGACTTCTCATTGTTATAACACATAACCCCTTGACAGGGTGAGTGAAACACTTACATTCATGTTCATCTCACAGTCATGTTCATCGGTGTCTTATTTTTTTAAAAGTCTGAAGAGGGTTGTTTTGCTTGGGAAAGCTCTGAGACTGCTCCTCTACCTTCTCTGGGAATGCTGGTCTTTTGAGGGGGTTGACATAATGGCACAATAGTAAAAAAACATTAGAAGCCACCAAAAGGTTAAGCCATGTGTTAACAGACAAAGTATTACTTTCTGCACCTGTTATGCGGAGTACTATCTGTGGAGGAGCTCAGAGTATGCATAGTGGCTGCAGGGGGCAATGCACAACAATACCCAGCAATTCAGCATTCATTTGGATACAAATAATTTTTTTACATTTAGCTCACCCAACCTCTGCCATCCGACTGTAAACACTGGCACTGCGCGGGTGTGCATGCCTAGAGGAAACTCTGTTGACACCGCTGCCCACTTCACATGGACCCAGCAGACCCCAAACAAGGCTGTTAGCCGTGATAAAAGCCACCCCAAGGACCAGCAGTGGGGCTCCCTGGATTATGGGTCATTTAGCCAGTACACAGGGGCAGACTGACAACTCATCTTTGTTCCTGTGTGCTGTGTAAAAGGGGGTGTAGCCCTTCCTTCCAATCAACTCTCACTGAGATCTGCAGAGTGTAACTTCAGCTCTCTGTACCCAGATTTCTGGAAGCTTGGACAAGCTTTATAAATTCAGGACTTTGAACTGATGTTGAGGACTGATGGCTTCAGATAAACAGGTAAAACGTATGTAGGAGGATTTGTTTCATCAATGTGTATCACCTGAGGTCAGACACCTCTCTAGTTATAAAAAAGGGTTTACAACCACTTTAAATTACTTTTCCCACAAGCAAACAACTCAGAACTATTATTAACACTTGTGTTTCAATGAGTATTTTCCATATTGTCACTCTGATCTCAAAGATTTTACTATTAGTTTGTAAATATCCAATCTGGTGTACCTATCCAACATCAGATTAGACATTTTCTCTTTAGGCTTATTCCATATTACTTTACCCACTAAGTTCCAGATTGACCTCAGCTGGTGGGTCATTCATCCCATTCAATCCTGGATGGATAAGGCTATAATTTTATGTTTAACCACTTGCCGTCTTCCTGCTGTTTATAAACGGCAGGACGGTGGCACTCCAGGGGTGGGTTGCCGTTCACAAACTGCACCCGCCATTTCTAGCTGTGCGCGCTCCCTGGGAGCCACAGCAGCACCGCGTGTCCCGCTGTGTCCGGACACAGTGAAACACCGATCGTCGAACGGGACCTCTGTACGAGGTCCCAATCATGTGATCACTGATTGGCCAATCAGTGAGCACATGCAAAGTAGTAAGCAAGATGTCACTTGTGACATCATTGCTTACTACGTGTGAAATCTGTGAATGATCACAGAGGTCACATGGTACAAGGCTATTCACAACAGCCTTGTACCATGTGACAAGCTGTAACCAATCACAGCTCACTCAGTAGTTCTCAATGGCTGCAAGAATGCAGACAGAGAGAAAGAGAAATGATTGCTTTTACATCCTATATGGGTGTAAAAGCAATCATTGTAAAAAAAAAAAAAAAAAAAATCTTCATCACCACCCCCACAAAGTAGTGCTAGGGTGACAGTATGTAAATAAAAAAAAAAAAAAAAAAATAATATAAAAAAATTAAAAATGTAAAAAAAATGTTTAAAAATTATAATTTTTGGTTATAAACTAATTTGGTTTATTTTTTTTTTTTACTAAAAAGATAACGGAATACATTTCTGCCATGATGAAAGAATATTTATTTGCAAAATTTTATAAGAAAAACCCTTTTTTTTCTAAATTTTTGGACATTTTCATTTACACTGCAAAAAAAATAAAAATCCCAGCGGTGATTAAATACCACCAAAATAAAGCTTTATCTGTCTAAAAAAAATGGTAAAAAATTCATATGGGTACAGTGTTGCATGACCGCACAATTGTCATTCGAAGTGTGATAGCACTGAAAGCTGAAAATTGCCCTGGACAGGAAGGGGGTAAGAGTGTCCGGACAGGAAGTGGTTAACTTATTTTGCTTTGGTCTGTGCCTTTAAGGCTAGACCAGTTTTGTTACGGTAGTTTATTTAATGTTTATTGTTAAATTAGGGTCACGCATTAAACTTATTTTATTGTGCGTGTCTTTTATTGTCGCTGTTATTTTTCTTGCTTATATTATTTATTCATGGGCCATTCACAAAGTGCTTGCGCTTCTAGCACAGCTGTCACAGTCGGGTGTCCACACTAAAGGGAGGACAACTCCGTGGAAGTGGAAGCGGGTACCTGTCAAATTCAGGTACCCGCTCCCCCTCCCTCCCCAAACGGTCCGCAGTCTCTTGGTCATCCCCTGTATTGTCTGCAGTCTTTTGGTCATCCCCTGTACTGTCTGCAGTCTCTGGTCATCCCCTGTACTGTCTGCAGTCTCTTGGTCATCCCCTGTACTGTCTGCAGTCTCTGGTCATCCCCTGTACTGTCTGCAGTCTCTTGATCATCCCCTGTACTGTCTGCAGTCTCTGGTCATCCCCTGTACTGTGTCCGCAGTCTCTGGTCATCCCCTGTACTGTGTCCACAGTCTTTGGTCATCTGTAGTATGTCCGCAGTCTCTGGTCATCTTCTGTAGTATGTCCGCAGTCTCTGGTCATCTCCTGTACTGTGTCCGCAGTCTCTGGTCATCTTCTGTACTGTGTCTGCAGTCTCTGGTCATCTCCTGCACTGTGTCTGCAGTCTCTGGTCATCTCCTGTACTATGTCCTCAGTCTCTGGTCATCTCCTGTACTATGTCCTCAGTCTCTGGTCATCTCCTGTACTATGTCCTCAGTCTCTGGTCATCTCCTGTACTATGTCCTCAGTCTCTGGTCATCTCCTGTACTATGTCCTCAGTCTCTGGTCATCTCCTGTACTATGTCCTCAGTCTCTGGTCATCTCCTGTACTATGTCCTCAGTCTCTGGTCATCTCCTGTACTATGTCCGCAGTCTCTGGTCATCTCCTGTACTATGTCCTCAATCTCTGGTTATCTCCTGTACTATGTCCTCAATCTCTGGTCATCTCCTGTATTATTTCTGCAGTTTCTGGTCATCTCCTGTATTATGTCTGCAGGCTCTGGTCATCTCCTGTACTATGTCTACAGTCTCTTGTCATCTCCTGTGCTGTGTCCGCAGTCTCTGGTCATCTCCTGTACTGTGTCTGCAGTCTCTGGTCATTTCCTGTACTATGACTGCAGACCATTGGTTCAGAATATTTTTTTTCTTGTTCTTCTCCTCTAAAACCTAGGCACGTCTTATGGTCAGTTGCGTCTTATGGAGCAAAAAATACAGTACATACCATCCTATCAAAGGGATAAAGATAGCAAGACCTGGGACAAAGACATTGTATAGTAATGCACTTTTTTAACATTTTCCCTGAAGTGGCCCTATAGTATGTTGTTCAGCAAGTTATTCTGAACAATGTAGGCTGCTTATAGAGTCCTATAAGACAACTAAAAAGGTAAGAAATATTTTTAAAATTGTTTATAGGTATGCTGTGTGATTGGGAGCCCATAAACATATAGTGGGGGTTACTAGAATTTGGTTGCAAAGGTGGAATTACATTGTAATGCTCTTTCAGGACTTGACACTTGACTTGAAAGATTACTTACAATAGAAAAAAATGTGCGTGACCAACATGGACTATTGAATTTGTTCCACAACGATAACAATGACTTAGTAATCTTCACCTAGCTTTTGATATGGCAGCTGTTTTTACTGTTTGCTTTTAAAATTCCATGTATCAATGGTGGAAGATAAGGCATACATTAATGGCTTTTTGGGACACAAAGTAAAATTAACTCCTGGGTTATCCTCTTCAAGGACCATTAAGCCATGAGTTATGTGAAATACAGTGAGGAAGTCATATTTTATCCTCCCTTGAGAACAAAAGGTTCTTTTTTCTTTGCACAAACCTGGCCGTCTGTAAAATTTATATGAAAATTAAAGAGAATAGAAGGTCGCATCACTGGCAAGCAGCTATAGTATGACTCATTTTAATTATTATTATTTTGAAATTAATGACTGAGGTTCTTTTCTTTGGATTATTACCGGGATGATTTAAGCATCAGATTTTGTAACACAGGGACTCTTTTTTTTATGGCAGGCTGAACAGAGTAATCATTTTTCCCCCTCATACTGTGTCCTTGTGAACATAATGACAATTAGGAACCTAAGACCTTCAGTAGAAATATGCAGTCTTGTGTGACATTCCTTGCCGGGCTGTTTCATTGTTTATAATGTCATAACAGCTTTCTAAATGTCACTTGCTGAAAACAGCTTCCAATGATGAAATTATAGGTATCTCACCTAAAATATTTTACGCTTCACAGATCCTTGTATTTGCATTTTAATTAAGGGACCAGAACCATATGAAATCCTATTTATTGTGAGTTAATATGCACATCAAAATGTATTTGTGGAGATGTCATTAGGCAATGTGTTCAGTCATTCCTTAGTATTTTAAAAAGCAATATTAGGAAAACATGTGACATGTTGGATGACTAGTAAGTTTCCTGAAATTTAAAACTGATATATTTAGTGGCTCTCTCATACTGCTTATTTATAACATTTACAACCAAAGAGCAGAAGCAGGAGAGTCATTCACACAAGTCCCCTAGTCAATGAAATATGAAACCTTTATAATTTCCATGTGCATTTCTCCAGTTTTGCAGTATTTTCATATGCTCCAGTTTGTATACATAATCTCCATTGAAGAATAATAATCGTTATCAATACATAATGTCACTATACAGTCTATAAATGCAGAGCTGGGTGTGTTTGATTTTAGTCCTAAGCATAGTTTTTCACTGTGGCCCCTTCTAACTAGTCTCCATGGTGGCTTTTTGTTAGCAGCAATCCTAACTAACCTCCCTTTAAATAAGCAGATCTTTATTCCTCTGCACAGCACTAACCCCCTTTACAGAAACAGATCTTGCTCCTCTGCACAGCCATAGGCCATTGTAGGTTAGTACACAAGTGTTAATCCCTAAAAGAGTTGCACTGTGGGAGGAATAGGCTATAAATGAAAGCTTATGCAGAAATTTTGAGGTAGCCTGTCTCTTGTTGGCATGAAGTATTTTTTCCAGACAGCCCAGGTGTTACAGGGCTGTCAACTAGATAACTATCAGCATACGTTTCTGGCAAGAAATATGAACATGAAAGAATTACAACTTTTGTATATGTTGGCCATTTGACATGCTGTTAGTCATATTTGAAGAAACATCCCACTTTTGAAAGGATTGCCAAGTGTCTCTTATGTAAATATCTCCTTTAGTTTACATGTTCATCAAGAATATCTTTATTTAGAGGACAGGTTTCCTTCTCTCAATGGTTCAACAGGTGTTGGTGCAGCTGTCTTATCCTCTGGTTGTAATTCTGGCTCCTGTTGAAGTAATTCTGAGATACTTTCTTCCACAACATTTATAGATAGATCCAAAACTACTTCATCTGACATTTCATGACTTGCTAATTCCCTAGGCGAAAAGTTGGAGTCACTAGGATAGACTACCCTAGCCTCAGGCTGAATTGGGGAGCTATACATTGCTCACTGCCTTACAAGAGTTTGGAATAATAAAATTGTATTCATCGTCAGAGGTATCTGAATCTGATCTCTAGCCTATTGTTTTCTTTCACTGTTGTTGCTGTCCTAGTAGCATTTTTCTTTGTTTTGTCTGGTGTAAAATCTTCAAAAGGCAAATCATTTATTGAGAGTGGCAAATTGCAATGAATCGAAGGTATGGGTTTGCTACCTTTCACTGGTTTAACTTTGTAGATATTCATTCACCCTATCTCTTCAACTACCATGTACACTTCCTTTTCCCAGTATGTTCACAGTTTTCCTGGGCCTCCCCTTTCTAACACATTTCAGAAGAACACAGTCTCCAGCCTGTAGAGCCACTCCTTTTGAGAGTTGATCATAGTACCTTTTACCTTAATGAGAGGACTTTTGTTTATTCTCAGAAACAATTCTGTAAGCTTCTCTCATCTTGATAGGCTATTTTTCAGCATACCTCTGGGGTGATCTTCCTTCCTTCTCATCATCAACATCAAATAACAGATCCATTGGTAAATGAAGTGTTTTGCCATACAACAGAAAAAAGGGGCATACCCGGTTGCTTCATGCCTAGTACAATTATATGCATGGACTATTTGTGGTATACTATGGTATACTCTGGTAATACTGCATCCAATGAGCTTTCTTTTCCTCTGCCAATGTACAAAGCATTTTCAATAATGTTCTATTCAATATTTCAAAAGGGTTGCTTTGAGGATAAAATGCCAGTGTTCTAGAATGGATTATTCCAGACAATTGTCACAATCTTTTGAAAAGTTATTTTTCAAATTCTCTTCCCTGATCATAGCATAATTTTTCAGGATATCCAAATATGGGAATTAAGTCATTCAAAATCTTCTCTGCCACAATTTTCCCTGATTTGTTGGATGTAGGGTAGGCCTG